GCTCCTCAGGGTTGTGTTCTCTCTCCACTGCTCTTCTCCCTGTACACCAACGACTGCACATCTAAAGACCCCTCTGTCAAGCTCCTGAAGTTTGCAGACGACACCACACTCATCGGCCTCGTTCAGGACGGTGACGAGTCTGCTTACAGTCAGGAGGTTAAAGAGCTGGCTGTCTGGTGCAGTCTCAACAACCTGGAGCTTAACACGTTCAAAACTCTGAAGATGACCGTGGACTTCAGGAGGAACCCCCCTGCTTTCCTTCCACTCACCATCATGGACAGCACTGTGACTGCAGTGGAGTCATTTAGGTTCCTGGGCACCACAATCTCTCAGGACCTGAAGTGGGACACTCAGATAGACTCCATTGTTAAAAAGGCCTAGCAGAGGTTGTACTCCCTTTGCCAGCTGCGGAAGCTCAACTTGCCACAGGAGCTGCTGAAACAGTTCTACTCCACCATCATTGAATCCGTCCTCTGCACTTCAATAACTGTCTGGTTCAGCTCAGCTATCAAATCTGACCTCAGAAGACTACAGAGGGTAGTCCGGACTGCTGAGCGAATCATTGGTACAACCCTCCCTTCTCTCCAAGAACTGTACTCATCCAGAGTGAGCAAAAGGGCTGGCAGAATCACTCTGGACCCCTCACATCCAGCACACTCCGTCTTTGAACTGTTGCCATCTGGTCAACGCTACAGAGCTCTGAGCACCAGAACGGCCAGACAAAGGAACAGTTTCTTCCCTCAGGCAATCCATCTCATGAACACTTGACAATAACTGTGGAACACACAGCACTATTTATACACATAATATACCTGTACATACAACTGTCTATTGTTATATACCTGTACATACAATTGTCGATTTGTATATTTTTATTCCTTATTTACTCTTAATTTTAAATTTTTTTATTATTATGTGTTTTTTGTTCTGTCACTGTCATTCTGTTACACTGTGGAGCTTCTGTCATGAAAACAAATTCCTCGTATGTGTAAACATACCTGGCAATAAAAACTCATTCTCCATCTCATGAACACTTGACAATAACTGTGGAACACACAGCACTATTTATACACATAATATACCTGTACATACAACTGTCTATTGTTATATACCTGTACATACAATTGTCGATTTGTATATTTTTATTCCTTATTTACTTGTTCTTTTTTTAAATTTTTTATTATTATGTGTTTTTTGTTCTGTCACTGTCATTCTGTTACACTGTGGAAGCTTTTGTCCCGAAAACAAATTCCTCGTATGTGTAAACATACCTGGCAATAAAACTCATTGTGATTCTTCTTCTCTTTAGCCCAGAGGACACGGCGTCCGTGATTTCCAACAAGAATGTCACATTTGGACTCGTCTAACCATAGAACACTTTTCCACTTTGAAACAGTCCATTTTAAATGAGCCTTGGCCCACAGGACACGACGGCGCCAGGTTCACATGTGGCTTCCTTTTTGCATGATAGAGCTTTAGTTGGCATCGGCAGATGGCATGGCAGATTGTGTTTACCGACAGTGGTTTCTGGAAGTATTCCTGGGCCCATTTAGTAATGTCAATGACAGAATCATGCCGATGAGTGATACAGTGTCGTCTGAGGCCCGAAGACCACTGGCATCCAACAAAGGTCTTTGGCCTTGTTCCTTACGCACAGAGATTTCTCCAGTTTCTCTGAAACTTTTGATGCTGTTATGCACTGTAGATGATGGGATTTGCAAAGCCTTTAAAAATGTCAAATTGCGTAGTATTCCACAATCTTTTTACGCATTCTTTCAGATTGGAGAGCCTTTGCCCATCTTTACTTCTGAGAGACTCTGCCTCTCTAAGACATCCCTTTTATGTTACAGACCTGATGTCAATTAACTTAATTAGTTGCTAGATGTTCTCCCAGCTGAATCTTTTCAAACTTTCTTTCCCTTAAGTTGGCAATAAACATGAGAAAAGTGTCCGTTATACAAGGTTTTGGTCATCGTTCAAATAGTAAAAGCTAGGACAGGCAAGGAATAAGGATAAAAGAGAACAGAAAATGTGAAAGTTTGTGAGGGATTTGGCTGTCCTGATGGAGTCAGGTAGGTCATTCCACCAACAGGGTTCGCTGAAAGAGAATGTCCTGGAGAGCGATTTTGTGCCTCTCTGTAATGGGACCTGGAGCCACCGCTTGTTAATCGACCGCAGGTTTCTGGAGGGGATGTAGACGCTTAGGAGAGAGTGGAGGTAGGGGGGTGAGGAGCCCATGGCTTTTCTGTAAGTAAGCACCACTTGATGCAAGCTGCGACTTGTTTTTTTTTGCATAGCATGTCAGAGAAATACGGCTCTGTGTATTAAATGCAGCTCCGTCTGAAAGCAGGTGATGGCGATTTACCACTAATCACAGAACTGGCTTTACTGACGAGATGTGCATGACAATCGCACTTGATTAATCGTGCAGCCCTAACGGCATAAAATTCAAAGGAAGGGGTGTTGAGGTAATAAGAGCATGGGCGGTATTTCCAGCTTTTGGAAATGAGGAGACACGTACCCCCACCTCTCCCAACCTGTTGTGGGGGGGGGGGGATAAGTTGTCTTTACACTCGTAGGTCTTCACACAAGGAGGGCTAATGCTTCTGCTGACGCTTCTGCGCCACTGAACAAACTCCACCTAAATACAGAGCTAACTCACTTGAGTGAAAACAGCTGTCCACGCCTTTCTAATTAGCACAGCAAAGCCTATAGTGTGCAGTTGTCTCAATCTAAACTAAATGTGGTACAGTTTGCTACTTAAGCACAAATGTTCAGTTAGAAAAAAGTGTTTTTGTAAATTCTAATTACAGCTAATGGCAAACAACATGCACAATCAGCATAAACTTTTAAATAAAATAAGAGTTAAATGTATTAATCCTCCTAACTATCAGATATTTATTCTAAATTAAAAACTGAAAACTGGTATTAAACAAAACACTGACATGCTCTTGTCGTGTCCGCTGACAAATCGCTTTATTTTGTATTTGTTGGTATTTGGGACGTGTCCTAGAGAAAGCAAAGACTTAAGGACACAAGGTTCTGAGATTACAGGTTACACTTTCTTCAGATCTAGCATACATGTTGTTGGATTTGATGTTTATCTTGCTTTGTGCCAATAAACTGGTCTTAACTTATTTTTGTTTCTTTTCACCTTAGACCTGACGGCGCTGAAAGAGAAGAGTCGAGAACTGAATGAAACCGAAGAAAAAAATCAGACTGAGAAATGTCATGATGATATGGCTGGGGAAAAATCTTTTAGTTACTCTCAGACTCTTAATAGAGAAACTACACAGCCTAAAGTCCAGATGAGAGTTCACACTGAAGATATACCTTCCACCTGTCAACACTGTGGAAAGAGTTTCAGTAAAAAAAGAAGCCTTACAATCCACTTACGAATCCACAAACACAAACCTTATACCTGCAAACCGTGTAGGAAGAGTTTCAGACTAAAAGAAAGTCTTAAGACTCACTTGAGAATTCACTATGGTGAAAAGCTGTTCATATGCTTTCAGTGTGGAAAGAGTTTCAGTAAAAAAAATAGTCTGAATAGCCACATGAGAATCCACACTGGAGGAGGCCCTTTCACCTGCAAACAGTGTGCGAAGAGTTTCAGTAAAAAAAATAGTCTGAATAGCCACATGAGAATCCACACTGGAGGAGATCCTTTCCCCTGCAAACAGTGTGCGAAGAGTTTCAGTAATAAAAAGAGTCTGAATAGCCACATGAGAATCCACACTGGAGGAGGTCCTTCCACCTGCAAACCGTGTCGGAAGAGTTTCAGACTAAATGGAAGTCTTAATACTCACATGAGAGTTCACGTTGGTGTAAAACTGTTCATATGCATTCAGTGTGGAAAGAGGTTTAGGAAAAAAGAGAGTCTAAATGGCCACATGAGAGTTCACACCGGAGAGAAGCCTCACACCTGCGAACTGTGTGGAAAGAGTTTCAAACATAAAATAAGCCTTAAGCATCACATGAATATTCACTCAAGAGAGAAATATTTTAGATGTCATGTGTGTGAAACAAGTTTTGCTGACAGGAGTCACCTTAAGAATCATGTACAAAATCACATTGGGGAGAGGCCTGGCATGTGCCATCACTGTGGAAAAAGTTTCACAAACAAAGCATATCTTCAGTCTCACATAAGATGTCACACAGGAGAGAAGCCTTTCACCTGCCCTCAGTGTGGAAAGAGCTTCACGGTTAAAGGAAACCTTAAGGTGCACATAAAAATTCACACTGGAGAGAGGCCTTACAAGTGTCCTCAGTGTGAAAAGGGTTTTAAAATGAAAGGGCACCTTAATGTTCACATGCGACTTCACACTGGAGAAGGCCCTTTCACCTGCAAACTGTGTGGAAAACGTTTCAGTCAAAAGGAAAACTTTGATGGCCACATGAGAATGCACTCTGGAGAGAAGCCGTTCATATGCCCTCACTGTGGAAAGAGTTTTACACTGAAAAAGAGACTTACAACCCACTTGAGAATTCACACTGGAGACAATCCTCACACCTGCAAAGTGTGTGGGAAGAGTTGCAAATCAAATGCTCGTCTGATGTCTCACATGATCGTTCACACTGGAGAGAAGCCTCACACCTGCAAACTGTGTGGGAAGGGATTCAAACATAAAATAAGCCTTAAGCATCACATGAGTACTCACTCAAGAGAGAAATGTTTTAGATGTCATGAGTGTGAAACAAGTTTTGCTGACAGGAATCACCTTAAGAATCATGTACAAAATCACATTGGGGAGAGGCCTGGCATGTGCCATCACTGTGGAAAAAGTTTCACAAACAAAGCATATCTTCAGTCTCACATAAGATGTCACACAGGAGAGAAGCCTTTCACCTGCCCTCAGTGTGGAAAGAGCTTCACGGTTAAAGGAAACCTTAAGCTGCACATGAGAGTTCACACTGGAGAGAGGCCTTACAAGTGTCCTCAGTGTGAAAAGGATTTTAAAATGAAAGGGCACCTTAATGTTCACATGCGACTTCACACTGGAGAGAAGCCTTACAAGTGTCTTCAGTGTGACATCAGTTTCACATATCACATAAGCCTGAAACAGCATTTGCAAACTCATTCTGGAAAGAATTCCTCGTTTCCCATGTGACAAAAGGTTTAGAAATAATGCATTCACTCTGGAGAAAGACAGTTCAATTGTGATTGGTGTAATAAAAACAGCAGACTTACAGATATATGAAAAGTCATTTAAATGTGACCCTGTTTGTGTTCTTTGTCAAATAAAATAAAAAGTACCCTTACAAAAAGTTTGTTCATGACTGTTATTAATATGCTGTTTTTAGGCTAAAAATAAGAATAGATAGTAAGAATAATCGCCTCCCTTTAAAATAATTACATTGTTTTGCTAAAATGAAGACGGACACAGTTTTTGTTTTATCCAGCTGTATTTACTGTAGTATAAATAGCTACAGTTTAGTTTAAACAAATCTATCAAAGTAAGTGTAAATACAGTGGGTACGGAAAGTATTCAGACCCCCTTAAATTTTTCACTCTTTGTTATATTGCAGCCATTTGCTAAAATCATTTAAGTTAATTTTTTTTCCTCATTAATGTACACACAGCACCCCATATTGACAGAAAAACACAGAATTGTTGACATTTATGCAGATTTATTAAAAAAGAAAAACTGAAATAACACATGGTCCTAAGTATTCAGACCCTCTGCTGTGTTATTTTGATTTTTAGATTTGCATTTGTTTTTTTTATTTGTTATTTTGTTTTCAGAATACCAGATGACCTAATAAGTATGTTTCCAATATCAGAAAAGATTAAGCCACAACATTTAAAACACAGAATTGTTGACATTTTTGCAGATTTATTAAAAAAGAAAAACTGAAATATCACATGGTCCTAAGTATTCAGACCCTTTGCTCAGTATTTAGTAGAAGCACCCTTTTGATCTAATAAAGCCATGAGTCTTTTTGGGAAAGATGCAACAAGTTTTTCACACCTGGATTTGGGGATCCTCTGCCATCCCTCCTTGCAGATCCTCTCCAGTTCTGTCAGGGTGGATGGTAAACGTTGGTGGACAGCAATTTTTAGGTCTCTCCAGAGATGCTCAATTGGGTTTAAGTCAGGGCCCTGGCTGAAATATTCAGAAAACAAGTCAAGTCACCTTTATTTATCTAGCACTTTTAACAATACATATTGTGTCAAAGCATAATTTACACATTTTAATTATTAACGCATGATAGTAAAAATGTAAACGAATGTGGAATAAAAACATCATGATTATATTTATAAATACAAACAATATTCTTTTAAAAAACTTTGCCTTGGTAGTCATGAAATAAAACATTTAAAACTCAAGTAGAAAAATTATTTCAGATAAAATATTTAAAAGTTTAAACTAAAACTTAAATATGTAACTTATTACTTATTACTCATTTTATTATTACATAAAATAATCCTCGGAATTCAATATCTGGAAGACATGTTTTAACTTTGTTAAAGACGGAGATATTGATGAAGCACTAGATGTGTGAAGATATGTAATATAAATATAACAACAATCAGGATTGTATTTTTATTTTATTTTTGCCTGCCAAGACTTTGCGGTTGTGGGGATGGGTATGAAGGTATTTTTGGTGCAAAACAACTGAGTGTCCGTGACAGCAGAATTTGCAGTTGTAGAGAATAGCCACACATGTGTATCAGTAAATCTGAAGTCACAGACAAAAGTTGCAAATTTGTAGATTTTTTTTATCTTCCACAAACACAACACAACAGTTACACGTTCTTGAATCCTTCACTGCAGGTGCACAAATCCTAGTCTACGAATCACAAATCAAGAAACTCGTACGCTCACATGTTTTGCTACTATTGCTGCAGTGAATATGGTGCAAAACACATTCACACACCTGCATCTGGGGAAGAAGGGTTGATCACAAGTGTTCCTTGTTTACTTGGAAAAGTTTTGGAAAAGTTCATAAAGATATGTTTAAAAAAAAAAAAAAATCTTACTGACCTCAAACTTTTGAATGTTTGTTCAAATATATTATTATATATATTATTGAAAAATATAAATGTATAAAATTCTGTATGTACATTTTATATTAGTATTATTAAAATGTGTACATCCACATTTGAGCATCTCCAGATGAAATTCATTATGTTTTTTGTTTTTTCAAAAATTAAAATAAATTATAGTTTGAACACATTTGAACATTTGTATAACTGTATAAATATCCATTTAAAAAAAATAAAATAGTTAAAAATGCAAGACTGAAAATATAATTTTGTAATAAAAGATTGTAATAAAATATTACATGAAATACACGGACTATATACATTTGAAAAAGCTTTAATTTAAATTGTGAAAGCTCCCAGACATCAGGTGTGGAGAGGTCCATGTTATCCTGCAGGAAAGGGTGCACCAAAACACACACAAAACAATATCAAAACAGAATTAGCTTGGAGTTATGGTTAAAGAGAAACAACAGAATCTGACTACAAACAAGCTTATCACCTAATACTTACCGTGCGTTCTCATCCTGTAGAAGCAATTCTACCACAAAAAAAAAAGTGAATATATTATTCATAGAGAAAGAATAGCATGATTACAAATTGATCACTTAACACCTACCTAGCAGGCTCAGTTCCCTGGTGGTTGAATTCATTCTACAATGAAAACATACAAAAAAAATTTTTCCATATCGTAAACAAATATTACTGTCTCATTACACGAATCATTCAAGGCCTACCTGGCAAGTGAAAGCACTCCGCTGGAGGCTGGTGGAGTGTCACCTGGCTTTCCTCCCCTTCTTCAGGATCGTCCAGGTGAGACACCATCGGAACCGGAGGGTTCTGTGCTCGTAGTTTTTTGAGCTGGTCTACACTGACCATCAGCTGTAGCTTCCTAATGTGGGTTTTCACCTGCTTTGCCTAAAGAAACAGATTAATCTAAAAACACATCCACAAAAACAAGCATGCTAGTTTGAGACAAGACTTACTGTGAGTTCTGAATGGCCCGATCTGAAGTGCCGTTTAACGCTGTTGTAAACGATGCTGCACTCGGGACATCTGACGTCACGTAGCTGGACCCGACCCCTGGCCAAGTGCTGTTGTTCATGCTGTGTTGTGACCTCAGGTGGTGCCTCAAGTGGGAAACATTTGCAGGACAATGTGGGCATTTTACCTGCATCTCATTTTACCTGCATCTTTGAAGTAGAATAGAAATGTAAAGTTAGCTTTGAAATGTATACAAACATGCACAACTCTCAAAATAATTAAATTCATTTAATTACATTTAAAAAAATGTATATGCATACTTACTTTAATAGCAGGGTGTAAACCTACTATTTAAAAAAACATTGCAATTCTGCGATGCAAGAGGAGGATCCTGAAGAGGAGGTCGGCCTCCTTGGGTGCTGTCCGAGTGGGTCAGGTGACCAGAAAGCTCCTCTCCTCTCTCGGAGATGAAGAGAATTATGCCCCCGCAAAGGAGGCCTTAGAGGCTCCTATGCAGCCCTCCGGTGAATAAGCTGGGTCACAGAGAAGCCCTCCACCTCTTGGTAGCCGCGTTCCTGTGTTTCCGCTGGAAAAAAGCACCCGCAGATCCCAGTCATGTGTCTGTGCTGAGTGAGTCTGACACTTCTTTTGCCGTTATTTATTTTTTCTTTTGCAAAATGCTGTCTTTGCTCTTCTTCTTTTCTTTTTGTGTGCAGACGAGATCATGGAGGAATACAGGTGCCACCTGGAAGGCCCAGACCCCAGCTCCAAGCTGAAGGAAAACATTGGCGGTCAGATCTACCTGTAACGAGACGTCAACAGAGTGAGGATCCATCTGCAGCTTTAAACAGGCAAGGTCAGACACCAGCAAACACAACAGAGGAGAGAAGCCAAATCGTTAGTCAGGGACGTGCAAAAGGGTCGGGGCAGGCAGCAAACAATCAGTAGTCAAAGAACAATAGCAAGAGTTCGGGAATCAACAGAGAGGCCAGACACGGAAAGAAAACATTGCATAGACAATGTTTCCTTCAATGTCTCTCTTTCTCCAGCACTGGTGCTGTTTCTTCCTCTTCCTGCAGCTCACCAAGCAAGTCATCCAGACTTTGGAGCTCATCATTGAGTTCTTGATGATCAACCAGGTTATCCAGCTTCATAAACGGTTCTTGGAGTTCTGAATCACTCATGGTGATCGGCAGAAACACAAACAGACAGAAAGACTCACAACAAAGATGGACAGATA